ACTGTGATAAAAAAAAAAATGGTTACTGGGAATTAGGGGGGAGGGGGCATCTGTTATATTAAAAAAAAAAAGATTGTAAACTGCTTAGCAGTCTGGTAAAGTCCCTCGTACAAAAAAAAAAAATGCCATGAGTTTAAGATATGAGCRCTCTATAAATACAAGTTAAAAAAAAAAAATTATTATTATAAGTTTCTTCACTCAGATGTCCTTATCAATAAAAAAAAAAAATTGATTCAACAGCTCTCAAGAATCATCTCTTTAACTCTTGAAAAAAAAAAAGACATCTAGGTTCCTCATTAAGGTTGGTTTCTGATTGGACAAAAAAAAAAAAAATTTTCATTTCCTTAACCCTTTACACCCTAAGCCCATTATAAAAAAAAAAAATACTGTTTGTCACACATTTCCAAAGGTGTTAACAAGGAATAAAAAAAAAAATAATAATAATAACAATAACACCTTTATTTAGACGCGATAATAAAAAAAAAAAAACAGCTTGTGCATGGGGTTGTGTATAAATCTAAATAAACTAAAAAAAAAAAAATTCAAATGGTTTTTGAGGAGAGGGGAAAACCGGAGTACCAAAAAAAAAAACTCTTGGTCCGGGAATCGAACCTGGGACACATTGGTGGAAGAAAAAAAAAAACACCACTACGCCAACCCTGCTCCCCATAAGGAGAATTGTTTAAAAAAAAAAAAGAGCTTCTTTAGTTGGTGATCATTTCCTCTATTCTCCTGAAAAAAAAAAAAGATTCAGGGGGTGATATTGTAAGGAGAAATTAGATGCCAGGGTTCGACACTAACCTTTAACTTACACGTACTTGCCAAGTGGCTAGTGACATTAAAAAAAAAAAAACAACTTTGAACAGTTTGTTTACTAGCCAAACTGGCTATTAAAAAAAAAAAAACCACTTGCAAAAACTGAATTTCTACTAGTCTGTGGCTAGAAAAAAAAAAATCTTTGGCTAGTTGGCTACTGTTTGTGTTGAGCCCTGGGCTGGGTTGTTCAAAGGTGGGTTAAGATAACCCAGGGTTAGTGTAAAATTTGATTAAAAAAAAAAAGCTTTAAAAGACAGTTCAGTTTAATTCCATTTGTCTAAAATAAAAAAAAAAAGTGCTCTAAAAAGAATTGGGAAAATTATCCCAAAACAGCTTAAAAAAAAAAAAATATAGAAACCTGGATTAAAATTTAACCCTGGATTTGCGCAAAAAAAAAAACGAGCAACTGGGCCCTGGATGATAGTCACTCTTACCGTTTAAAAAAAAAAAATGTTTAGGTATTGGGTAGTACACATGTAGTGGCAACTTTGAAAAAAAAAAAATATGAAATTTTTGGCAAAACACCCACCATCGGCATATAAAAATAAAATTATTTGATAACATGTTGGCCTTACTTGCTTCAACCCATTCCTCAAAAAAAAAAAAATCCTTACGAATCTTAGAACGATCATCTAGGCTTCGATAGGGAAAAAAAAAAAC